CGCCCCGCCGCCGCCGCCGCCGCCGCCCGCGTGGATGTCCTCCTTGGGCACGGCCTTCTTCACCTCCACGCGGTGGCCCTGGATCGGGTGGAACTTGACCACCGCCGCCTTGTCGGCCGCGTCGTGGCTCTGGAAGTAGACGAAGCCGAAGCCGCGCTTCTTGCCCGACTGCTTGTCGGCGATGATCTCCGCCTTCTCCACCGCGCCGAACTGCGAGAAGTGCTCCACCAGGTCGCCCTCGGCCACGTCGCCCTTGAGCCCGCCGACGAACAGCTTCTTCACCTTGGCGTGCGCGCCGGGCCGCGCCGAATCCTCGCGCGACACGGCGCGCTTCAGCTCCACCGTGTTGCCGTCCACGGCGTGCGGCGACGCGGCCATGGCGGCGTCCGCCTCCTCCACGTTGGAGTAGGTGACGAAGCCGAAGCAGCGCGAGCGCTTCGTCTGCGGGTTCACCACCACCACGCAGTCCGTCAGCGTGCCGAACGCCTCGAAGTGGCCGCGCAGCCCCGACTCGCTCGTCTGCACGTTCAGGCCGCCGATGAACAGCTTGCACAGCTGCGAGTTCTCCATCTCCACCGCCCGGGCCTTGCCCCCGCCCTGCGCGCCCCGCGCCTTGGCCGCCGCCGCCGTGATGGCGGGCTCAGGGCCTCGTCGCCGCCCGCGGCCCGGCCGTTGCCGGGAAGAGGGGGGGGGGAAAGTGGTGGGGAGGGCGAGAGGAGAGGGGGGGGAAAAGAGAGAGAGAGAGAGAGGCCGCCGCCGCCGGGGGAGGGAGGAAGGAAGGGAAAGGGGAGGGAAGGAAGGACCGAGGGGGAGGGAGAGGGGGAAGAGGCGCCGGCTAGAGGGCGAGCCCGGGACACCGGGAGACAACCGAGGCCGCCGCGGCCGCCACCTCCGCTCCCCTATCTGGGCACCACACAAAGAGGCCGCTGAACGCGCGCGCACCCTCCCCGAGGCGTGCGTCACCAGCGACGCACGGCGGCCCGGGCGCTGCCAGCCAATCCCCGGCCGCGCTCCGCTTTGGTCCCGCCCACCGCCCCC